TGACTTTTTCCAGCTCTGCTGGGGTTCTCCGTGATGTCTGACACCGTTGCTGATTCTGACTGGTCTATGTAGGTGATCCGGAAATTGGCTAAGAAACACAAACTGTCCAGTAAAGGTCGTGAAAAGTCGGCTATGTATGTCGAGGATCTGGCGAAGGTTGTGGAGACTGTCATCAGCACCACAAAAAAGAAGTTTGGACACCGTCAACATCGCATCGAGCTCTGTCTGTTTCTACAGCTGGCAGGTCTTACAACAAATCGTCCGCAGGCCATCTTGGATCTCAAGTATCGCCATATTAAAGTCTGACTGCTCCGAGATCCTAAAGGTGGTCCTCATCGGATCGTGATCGAGTTCACTTTTGAGTTCACGAAGGAGTTTCTGGGCGCCAAAGACGAGTAAGTGGTACCTGGCGAGTCCGATGAAGACTCCATTTCTATTTATCACCGCAGCAAGGTTTGACCTTGGACTAGGAATACCTTTATTCTCCCGGAAATCATCTTCGACCCATCACTCATCCTTAGTCCGCACGTTTTCCTGTTAGGTCTTCTCTTCGCCGATCGCGCCTTTGCACGTGTTGATGGAGAGGAAGTGCTGATGTCTGCGGAGCAACTCCTCCGCCTGCGGATCCCCGATGAATGCAACGAGCTGCAATTGACGCTTGACCCCGCGTTGGATAATATCCCGGTCTTCCGTCAGTCAGAGCGCACGCTGGAGGGAATCACTATCTCTCTTGATAAGGCTCTGCCCTACTCCACCCTTTTACCATGGGTCAAGAAGGTAGGCGCAATTACCGGCTTCCGGCAGGTCTCCCGCCCGTACAGTCTGCGGTATGGAGCCGGCAAGGCACTGGATAATAGCGGTTCGTTGCTCTTTTGACTGATATGTCCCCTGCGATCTCAACGTCACTGACCGTTTGGCCACAGGATCCGTCAGCGATGCTCTCCGCAACCTGATCATGCACCATGCCGATACCCGCACCTTCTTGAAGTACTACCTTCACCGGAGGATCGACAAGGACCTCGCAGCCATCATCCGAGGTCTCGATCCCCAGGAGGATATGATGCGTGCGGCCTGTCGTATGAGCCGGACAATTGATCCTAAGCGGCCGCAGGAGTTGACGACCGCGCAATCATCCTCTGTCAACCAACAGCCTGAAATTCAGGATCTGATCCAATGGCGCGGTGAGCTCCGCCGACAGCTGGGACGTCCGCTGGCGCGGCACCGTGGAACAGTGAAGTACGAGGTGTATCAGAAGCTTAACCAGGAATTAGCTGGCGCCAGGCAACGGGCGCGGGATGCGCTGCTTGCCCAGCTTCAAGAGAAGTATGACCGAGAGCAACCAATGCTGGAAATCCAGCGGCAGCTGTCTGGGACCAAGCTGGCCGAGACCGTGAACCAGACACTGGATTATTGCGAAGAACTGCCCGCTCCGCAGAAACGTCTGATTGAAACTATTTTACTCTGCCACGATCGACACTGGAGGACGAGATGCGCCGACGGACCGATGCTATTGACGCCATTGCCGCTTACTGTCTATTCGAGGAAGGGGTCACATGCCGTCTCGCACGGGACAAACGTCCCACTGGCCAGATGGTCGAGGCAACAAAGCCAGAAGGATACGACGTTAAAGACCAGGAGACTAATGCTGCCGAAAGCTGCTCCCAGTCGGATCAGCTGCTGGAGGCAGCTATTCGATCGGTCATGACAGAGAGAAGGCCCCGTGTCTGTTTCATCTGTGTGGGACAGCCGAATTTGGACATCAAAAAGCGCATGAAGCAATTCAAAGAGCACGGTGACCTAACCAAGCACATCAGACGGAAGCATTTCAAACGAGCCAAGATGGGAGATCCCTTTAGGTGCACTGTCTGCGGCCTGCAGTTCACTGATAAGATGCATCTTCAACGTCATGCCATTGATATCCATTCGACTGTGACATGATTCATTTTCCATCTCTCCGCCTTCATTCCTACAAGCTCTATTTAGCACGATGGTTAATGTATCTATCAATTGCACAGATATCATGTACAGGACCTTTCCCACAGCCCAGTTCATTTACATCAAATGCATCATTTCTCTACTGCTCTCTTGCCTGCCTGCTCATTATTGATCAGAAGTCAGGGCTGCATCCTGGCCAATGATGTGGCTAATTGATTTGACAATGAATAGAGATGCATAATAACATTCAACACTGTCCTCAGCACAATGCAGAAGTTATCCTGGACAGCGCCTGGATACACCTCCTAGTCTGTCAGATGAGGATGTTAAGCTGCTGGGCAATAAGTCTGTCACTTCCTTGCATTCACAACTGCCAGATGTTCACGAAGGCTGTGCCCCAACACCTATTGCAGTTCCTGATAGTAAAATTGCTGAGAAGTCTGAGATCTTTTCAAAGAAGAAGAACAAGAAGTCTAAAAGTCTAAAATATTGGTGTTGAGTTGTTGTGAACAAATGTAATTTTTCTACTCTAATGTGATGTTGTAGTGATGAGTGAGGCAATAGAGAAAGATCAAAAGAAGTCCGTTCTGTTTTCAGTATTTGGTGAAAGAAAAGAAAAGAAATGTCATGATCATCAAAAGGGAGCTGACGTCTGTTAAATAGGAGAGTTGATTTTGCCTTAGGAGTAGACAAAAGTCTCGATCGACATCAACAAGGGCCGTCATACAGCATGAACTCGATATAATCCTGGCCAGATGAACAATAGTGATAATCATGACATTCAATAATCTACAACCGTAAGGCCACAATGCGGAGTCTCATGTGGACTTATCAACCCCAGGTAGCATAACAGCTCAGTATTATGGAGTATTTGACAAAGTGCTCTGATAAAATTGTTGAGGTTATGGCTATAAGCATGTGGGGGAGAAGCTTCTACAAGCTCACTATAGAAGACAATATAATGATATGAAAGAACTTTTTTTTCTTGATTCTAATCAGATGTGGGCGACCTGGCGTATAAGCCTTATTGTAAGAAGCGGGGTATCGGCTTCCAATATGATGTCTATCACATCAGCTTATATGACTACCGAATCCAGTTAGACCGGTATGCCAAAAATTCAGGCTCAGGCAGGATGTGTAAAGCCCGACAGCATTGTTATGTCATCCCCCTGGAGATAGTTGATTGGACTGCCCATCACTAAATGACCATCGGGAATGACAATCCAGAGAGCGAATGAGCTGGATCCTTTAACCGCCGAGGTAGTCGCCAACCATTAGAGTCGGTTATGTGTACGGACAACAGAGTGCCTATTGCATTAGTCCACCAAACAAGGCACAAATCTGGATTTCATCAGGTCGCCTACTAGGAGAGCCGAACTTGGTCGTGCCTGCTTTCACAGGGTTCTGACTCCGAGACAATGGGCACAAAGTGTTGTGTGGAGATCGAAACGCCTGAGGGCCATTGAACGGCCAGAATGTACACTGGGATTGGCAATTTTGTAACCTGGCCGTGGCGGAGGTTTCATCAACGATTCTCGAAAGCCACTCGATTGGTTGATGGGTGAGGGAGGTAGTGACACTCCGACCGGGCGCGAAGACGAGCTTCTAAGGAGGTACGAACACAATGCTGCAGCATAAAAAGGTACCCAATTCCCTCAACTTATGGCTTCTCTAGCTGATTTCACAGAGTCTTCGTCAATCATCGAGTGTTTGATATTCATCATTTCCGGGTACATTATACAAGAAAGCTCCTTTCAGTCCCTCTAGTCCCTCGTCTAAAAAAATGAGCCGCACCTTCGCTAGGGGACTTCAAACCACCTCCAGGGCGCTTGTCCAGTTTACTGGCACCGTTAGTCCTAATGACATTCTGGCCAGCAATGGCCCTGCAGGCGGGGCATGGGAAGCGGCGACCAAGAAAGTATGCGATGCGATAGAGAAGGCTGTATGTTAAAAAAAAAGGTTTTTTTTAAGTCATTCGTACTGGTGCTAACATCTGCTCAGGATCCACGAATTTCAATGGCCAATATCCAGTATGGCGTTGCCTCTACCGCCCCTATTTCAGTTAAATTTACCAAACTGTTAACGTGGTTTTCTAGGGGGGCCAGAGCACACTTGTCCTCCAAGGATAGGAGTGATCGTCAGCTGGTCATCACGGTAGGCCTCGCTACGAACTCTGGGACACGAGTCGGTTCAGTCCATGTGCATGTCGATGGTACCTTTAAATTCTTTCCCTCTCGTGCTGGAAGGGAGGGTGGATACGAAGACAATATTCTGCGTGCTAATATTGAGGGACACATCCAAAATTTGGGAAACGAGCCTTCTGATGAAGCCATTGAGAGAAGTCCAGCAAGGGGCAACGAGTAAGCTCAAAGGATAATGGACGTGGATGTGGTTATCATGTACTGCACGTGTGGCTGCGAAATCGCTTAACCTGTGTGAAGCATGGGTGATCTATGTATTGGATAGTTGTCTTGAAAATTGCTCGCTTTCTCTGAGTATCCTCTGGGCATCCTCTGTTTGGTTCTGTTTGCATTGCTTTTCTCACATTGCATTTGAGTGTCCATAGTTCTTGCCTGTTACGAATGTTATACTGTCTCATCTCATACAGCAATTGTTGACGTGGTGAGGCCCAGAAACTACCAGTAGAAACTTTGTCTTCTGTGGTGGTAAAATACCTCTGAGTATCTGTTCTACCTAGCGTGCGCCTAAAGATCTCCTGTTCGCCCATTAGACATTTCAATTGGGTGAGACTTCCTAAACTCTTCTCCATTGGTTTTCCATCCATGATACTCTTGCTAGTTAGTAGTTAAGGGAAATCCGCTCGGGCATCGTGCCGCGCCCAGGACCCAGTACCATAGCGGGTTCAGAGTTAGTGGCTGCCAAGCATTTTAGCCCCATCGTGATACATCACTCAGCTGGACTCTTCAGTCAACCGCGACGTTGCGTTTTATAATCTCTAGTAATCAGTGCATCTATTTGCGGCCTTTCTTTGAGAATGACTCGAGCCTGGCGATACACCCGCGGCATTTTTGTGTCTCGTGACAATTTAAAAATCCATTCCTGCCCGCCCGTGAGGTCGTGCTTTCGCCTTCAACCAAGTTCTCAATCGCCACCTTTCTCGAACACTAATCGCAGAACAATGTCGTCATCTTCTTTGGGAGTGCCTCATGCCCTACGGTCGTTTCCAAGCTCTGGCTTTGAGTTGATTGATCACTCTGAAAAGATTGAAGAGGAGACACTACCTACTTACCACGCCGAAAAGTACTATCCGGTTCACATTGGGGAGGTGTTGAACAACCAATATCAGGTGCTTGCGAAGCTAGGATACGCGTCACATCTACAGTT